GAAGAGAGTTTCATTGTTCTAGCTTCAAAAACTACGAATTTCCATAGCAACTTTCATCCCCTTTTTCAACCTCTATCATCAGACAGACAGACAAAATTTTTATTAAATGTTTTTTTTAATCCAAATGCATTTAGTAAAAAGCTGTTATATTAATGTTACAAACAGACACTCCAATTTTATTTATTTGTATAGATTTAGTTTTAAATACACGCGCGCTGTCACTTGTTATGTGTATCGACGCGAGATATGTATATAACTCGCGTACAAAACTAAGTTTAAAGTTTTATGCCAGTGGAGGGCTGACAAGAAAGGTACCACTTGGTTACATCGAAACATGCCTTCGGTACATTAAATATCAATAGACCATTCTCCTGAATTTGTTATGTATTCAGTTTCATTTCTCTACCTGCCCTGTGCAGAGCAGTTAAGTTTCAAAGTAAAACATGAATACAGTAGTAGCTAGTTGAAACATAGCTCTATCACTGAAAAATTAAAATCCTACTTTCGCCACATAACTAAAGAAATTCTTGTTGTGATTTAAGCGCGTCCGCTTACAATATCTCAAAAGCAAGCCGAGTCTTTGAAGTAAACGCACGGAGAATTTTCAGCATACATTAAATTTCAGGCGAAATAATTCTGGCATAGTTTTCTCGACTATAATCCGCCAGGATAAACGTAGATTTAGGATTAAAGCAAATTATGTTCGTTTGTGTTTAAATGCATATAAACATTTTGTATTTTGGTTTTGTCTCTATTGAAACACATAAAAACAGAAATAAATATTTCCTATTCAGTATTTTATTCACTGTAGTTTATTTTTAAAACAATTCCAATAGTCCAAGTCTTGGATATATCGTTGGACTTATTCTTTGTGTCATATTAATCGTTTTCAAGCCAATGACTCAAAAAATCCTAGTATCGCCTTTACTTTCAACGAACATTTTTTTCGTTATACAATAAAAGATAAGCTCATGAACGTCATATTTTCTTCATGCTGACAAATGTGCGTTCTTTTTTCCGACTCCCTGATTGTCTTAGGCACAAAAACATCGTTTCATATAACAGATGAAGCATAAAATCGAAGAAAGGCGATGAAACGACGTAGGTGAGCCTCCGGCGGTATCCGTTTTATCGTACTAATGAACTTGATATCAGAAAGGGGCATATCTTATTATTTTTATTGAACTCGCATGAACGTCGATCGATCTAAAAGCGGCGTCTTTTGAAAGTATAATCACGTACTACGTCGTTATAGCGATCCTTTGATTTAAAATCTGACAACCCATTGTTAGTACTTTAGATCAACCGAAGAAACGACTTCAGGCTTGTTACACTCGCAGCTGCAAGCAAATAAACGGGTGAAAAAGTAACATAATTTTTCATTAACATATTACGTTATATCCTCATTTTGTGATATATCGTAAATGACATGTCATTAGTTATAAACTATTATAATCTTATTAAGAGAAAAATATTTTTTTATTATAAAAATATTGTAAAATAATAAATAGACCGTAAAAAGGAAACTATTACTATTACGAGTCATATATTAGTGATATACAAATAAATGAAATTAATTGGACTGCAAAACCTTAAAGACATGATACTCAAACCTAGTATCATTGTTAAATACTGTATATAGTTTACGCGAGTAGTACACATTTTAACGGTTTAAAACGCGATATATTACTTAAACTTATTTCAAACTCGGCCCGAGGTTTCGAATGCTTTGCAACAGCAGTGCCACTGCTGCAAAGCATCCGAAACTAATATATCGCATTTTAAACCGTTAAAGTGTTTTACTCAAATAGAATCATTGTTTTTTGTGCTGTTTCTGCTGCGTCGGTGCAGGTCTAAATTTTTTAATGTCTATCTTATTGATTGTGTAACCAGTGGGCCATAGTCAAACTCGAGAAATAACGAATCGAGTTGCATTTTTTCGATATTTTATCGTATATCGATTCCCACTACTCTTTAAGCTACACGGGACAAAGATCAGCCATTTATAACCGAACTTGACGCAATCGGGTCCATGGCAAGTTAATGAAGGGACCCAAATTATGCCTTGAACTGATTTCGAACAATGGCCGCAAGTCGTTAATTTACCAAGTTTCTGCACAATAGCTTCGGCCTACAAGTGTATAAGATTGATGTGCGCTGACCCTAAATCTTAATATTCATCAAGTTACATACGGACAAACAATGTATGTTATGGGTAAATAGAAATATTCAGTTGGCATAAAATAGTACCTACGGTAAGGACGCCTACGGACTACGACAAACGAGTTACTTAGTTAAAGCCTCGAATATCATCTATACTAAATACTGTCTATAGTTTACGCCAGTAGTACACATTTAAATAAAACACTATAACTAAAGTCTCCCCGTGGCCACGGCTGCTGCAAAGCAGTCAAACGTCGGGCCGAAGTTAAAAATCATTTTCAGATAAGTTTAACTAATATATCGCGTTTTAAACCGTTAAAGTGTTTTATTTAAATCATCTATACTAATATATAAAGCTGAAGAGTTTGTTTGTTTGTTTGAACGCGCTAATTTCAGGAACTGATGGTTCAAATTGAAGAATTATTTTTGTGTTGTTTAGAGCATTTATCGAGGGACGCAATAGGCTATAACATCGCGCTGTGACTAATAGAGGCGAAGAGACCGCGGGGCTTGTGAATAAAATGGGGGAAAATTTTCATCTGTACGGGTTTCTGATGCGTACGATGCGAAAACAGTTCAAGACACCCAAAAAATATGTATGAAATAATGATTCCTGGGCACTTAAATATCTTAAAAGATGTAGAGGTTTGATAAGACTAATTTAAGATTACTTGCAAAAACAACAGTACGCGTACGAATGTCGTGGGACTTAGCTAGTATTAAATAAAGGTTTCACAAAAATTTCTTCTTGTCTATATTGTTATAGTCTGTTGTTTACTCTAGAAGTACACATTTAAAGACTTTTAATGGTTCAAAAGCTAAATATTGCGTTCGACAAATTATGTATTTTAAATGAAACTATTTATTTTCAATAAGTTGTGTTTTAAACTGTTAAAAGTTTTTATTAATTAAATGCAATACTTACTGATATAATTACTGTAGTAGGTCTTCATGAAGTACTTGTTAATCTTATTTATAGATACTATACCTGTTACCCCGACGCAACGTCCCTTTACGTCACTATAGTAGGCGCATTTCTGTGTCTTTGTCAACTATTGATTTATTTACTAAGCGAAACCTCTTATTTTTATTCAGGATTCGAATGTAAGACCTATAGGACTTAACAAGGCCACGTATATGGGCAATGACTGTGAATTGCGATTAATACAGAAGTAAAAATGTGCTAACAGCCAAGCAAGTTCAAAAAAACGGAAACTGGACGTAACTATTGTGTAAACTAACACGCGCACATTCTTAAGAGTTAAAAAAACAACTTCCCTTTTGAGGTCGGACGTCATATGCGCCTAATTACTTAAAATACGTCACAATTGACGTCATTATATGACCAGCAAAAATAACTATACGTAACAACTTGGAATGTGTTGTGAGGTGATCGTGTTATGCTAATATTGACCTCTAATTAATTGTTATTATTTATAAATGATCCATAACTAGTCCTATTTAGATATGGTTTGGAGCCTTGAACCCACCACGGTGTTCTGTTTCAGATTGACAGGATTTAACGACTACTGACGAATGACTTCTATAACATAACTCCGACTAGCGCCGGGTAGCTTTGTCAGCAGGAATTAAAATTTCAACTAACCTTTCTTCCGGGAATTGAACATTGTCAAATTTGACAACATTGATTTGCAGACGAATAGAATCACTAAGCCCACGAGATAAGTCTTACATTTTGTTTAATACAAGTTATATAAGCAGTATTTAAAAAAAATCATTACGAATTGAATTATGCTATTTTCAATATATTATAAGTTCGGATGTCGCCTTGTATATTATATTAGATTTATATATTTTTTTCAAATTCATATAACTTTAATAGGCCTTATATAACTATAAGATAATATGAAACAAAAAAAAACTGTTTAAAACGGGATCTACATTTTGTCGTTTTATAGCAGAGCTGGTCAAGAATGTGCAAATTATTTGGTAATAAAGATTTTTGCCGATTACGTCTGAGAAAACGCCACTGAAGAAGGTAATAATATTCAAAAACGTTTAATACTCTAATCGCATGGATTATGAATAAAAAGTTTGAGACCCGCTCGGGGTCGTTACGTCTAAAGTTTTCTTGTTAGGTCTGACAACACTTGGGAAGTTTTAACAGGACCCTTCGCTATTATGTAGGTACTGCGTTATAACGGGTTGTATCTATTTATTTTATCGATATTTTCAACGTTAGAATACATCTAGTTATCGACGGCGGTTATTGCTGACATAAATCATTCGTTAAACATTTATATAATAAAATACTACATTTTTAAAAATACAATTCAATAATAAATAACAAAACATAAGCGCCATTTTGCTTTATATTTAACAATTAGAACGATTGTAGTAGCTTGTATAAAATTTGTATACCAAGTGTCATAATAAAAAATAGTGCGGAACCCTTCGCCTGACTTGCGCTTGGTAAACTTTTCTATATCATATAACCATACTATCACCGACATACAATGAACCAGGAGTTATAAAATGTATGTATATTCTCGTGATGCTAAACCAGTTTATTTTTTGTGTAAAATAATTAAATTGCGCACGTATATAATTAATTATTACGTATTTTAATTATTGATCTCGCCATCTCCCCTTCCTTTACAGTTTCCTCGTACGTCATACAATTTCGACGACTTTTTGGGATAAACCATTCATAAGAAGCAATTACAAATACCGCTTTACCAGACTGTGACGATTCAGTCTTACGTCGATCATCAAAGCAGAAAACTGCGGAAGTAACATTGTCGCCAAAACATAAAGAATAACATAAAATTTCTGTTTAGTTTAATCGATAGATTAATATATTATACTTTTTCATCATGGACTTTATTCGGTGGTTTAAATTTTTAGTTATTACATTTACTTTTCTCACTCCAGGTAAATTTTCTTAAATAATTTCTTACGATTCCTCGATTTTTCTAAACTTATTAGACGTTTCGGATTTACAGTAGTGTTCAGGGACCCGTTTTAAACCGTTCAAAATGATTGATTATGGCAAACTAAACTTTAAAGTGAATAATGTTCCGACATTTTAGGGGCGTGGGGTATTTTAAATAAGGTGAAGATCCCTTGGTTCAAATTAGCAGTGAACTCCGAAGATTATACACTGGATGATTTTATAAGTAGTATGCTTGTGGTGAATGATACCAGCACAAGAAGCGATGACCACCAATCCCTGGTGGCGGAGGATCCTTGCGAAAATTACTTTCCGTTAAGACCAAAATTGGATGGGGCAATGCGAGTGAGCGAACAAAGTAAGTTTTATTTTTTATGATATTCTTTAAACTGTAACTAGCAACATAAACTTCAGACATTAAATAAAAAGAAAATAAATACGAAGGATGAAGAAAAAAAATCATTAATAATAAGATTGGGAAATACACTTTTATAATGACATAATATAAAATAAAGAAACAATATTATATAAACGAAATAAAGCATTGAACCGTTTCTATTTTTTTTTTTTTCAGAGTGCCTGGAATATGTTACGGATATGGTAAATCGAGAAAACATAAGCAAGAGAGAGGTAGAATGTAAGTTCTTATAAATATAGGTATAACGAATATTAAACCTAAATATGTGCATTTAAGACCAATAGTTAAAACATTATTTTTCGCATATTATTATTGCATATATTTCTATTTATAGACCCGCACCATGGACCGCTGTAGACGTGGTGTTGAAAACCACCCGTGTCCTAGATTTTTAGAAAATAATAGAGATTTTAAATCAATACTTCACCGCTATGCATATTTTTCCTTTAGGCAAAAACAAGCACGGGCAGTCTACGGGCAGAACGCGAATAACAATTTCCAAAAAGCATTCAACGAAACGGGGGGAATATTCACACATGGTAAGTAATGTGATTGCTTTCCTAAATTACTTTTTAGAAGCTGTCTCGTAAAAACGGTTAGTTTATTTGCTTTTGCCGGCTTTAATAATTAAATAGAACACTTGTAACGTTTTAACTACGAAATGTATTAGTAAACTATCAATATATCCATTTTTTTTGGAATCTTTGTAGCTGATTTGACTTCGGCCTTTGGGACTCCCTCCATCTTTAGGTCCCGAGTAACCACGGCTGCTGCAAAGCATCCGAAACGTCGGGTCGTAGTTTAGGAAAATAAGTAATATATTTCGCGTTACGGAACATCCTTAAGAAACGTCTTAAAGAACTTGAACAGTGATATGAAATACTACATGTATTTATTTTAAAACCAGTTAATTTCTAACTATATGAATAATAAGAGTTAGCCAATAGGACGACAGCCATATCCTTTAAATGTTACATGGCTGAAGGGTATTACACCACCATCCAATAAACACCATGCTTTTCTGTCCTCCTCAATCATAAAAAAAATTAAAACCTTGAAAATCTGAAGATTAAATTGGTAAATAATCTCAAATCATTATGTCATCTTATCTTCAGGTAGCGCTCGGATGGAAAACGAAGAAGAAGAACTTTTGGAAGTTCTTCTGCGGAGGAACGCTTATCAGTGACAAGTTCGTGCTGACCGCTGCGCACTGCGCGTCACTGACTAGCAAACAAGTGGCTAGAAATCACTTAACCCAGGCGGACCCACACATTGTCCGGCTTGGTACCAGAATGATACAGGTGGTTCAACAATAATAATTATAATAACACGTGGCTTTTTACACTATGTTATAGAATTGTGTTTATTTTAAATTAGATTCCCGTTGTCGTGACATTTAAAAATTGTCGTCTAATGTAAGAATGAATAATGAACAAGAGGCCGTGGGTTTGATTCCCAACGGGTTCAATATATCTCTAAAAATCATAATAATTGTACTGCCACGTTTGACTTTATATGGAAAATCTAGATATTGAATCTCGAAATTCCACCAGAGTCACGAACCACAGATAAAAAGGTCGTGAAGTGTAAACTGTGTGAAATCTACTTTCCGGTTTCCATCTGTGGATTTCTGAATGTCTAAAGCCAAAATAGGTCGATAAGACATTTTGTTTAGATGCTATAAATCACCTTCTACCAAATGAACATGCTTGTCTGTCCTCCGCAATAAACAATGTGATGTTTGTTACAGCGACGTTTCACCGACGTAAAAATCAAACAATTCATTCAACACGCAGATTGGAAATCACCAGTGCGGTACAACGACATAGGCCTCGTAGAACTGGCAACAGTTGTTCGATTTTCAAAATTCATCCAGCCAGCGTGTGTATCAGCTAGGGATGTAACTACACAAACAGCTACTATCACTGGATGGGGCGCTACTGACGGTAAGTTACTGTGCTCTATCCCTAAACTTTTCTATTCAAATGTCTTTTTAAGGAGAAATCTTGGACGGAGCCCGCGGTACCCAAGTTCATAAAACACATATTTGTAAAATCTGTACTATATCTAGTTTACGCGACTAGAACACGTTCAAATAAATACTTTTAACGGTTTACAACGTAAAATGTATAGTTACTATTCAAAATGTATTTAACTATGGCCCGACGTCTCGAAATTTTTTCCCGGGGGGGGCCCCGGGGGCGCGGGCTGGGGAAATGCGGGCCGTATTTTAGTTAACCGTTTGAAAATGAGATAATCACGTTTTAAACGGTTATTTTTATTTTTATTTCTGCTGATTTCACCATAGGTATAATAAAAGTAAATAAAAAAAGGATTTTTATATTGAAAAAAAAAAACAAAGTGACACAAGATTTAAATTCACAACCACGAGTTCGTGTCCCGCCCAGTTATAGGTTTAAAGAAAATTAATTTATATCGCAAGACATGAACAAATGATTACGAATAAAATAAATCGCATCGTCCACAATATATTATACTTTCAATATACTCGTATAAATTAGTGACATAATATGCCAAAAAAGGAAAGCAAATTTAGTTTAGTAGTATATTAAAAGAGATGATTCAGGATTTATTTTTCCTCGCTGTCAACAACGACAAGATAAATTATTTATTAACCATAAACTATGGGATTTATAAAAACTATTTTAATGGTTTGAATTGTCAAATGTAATAGTTAAATTATTATTAACGATGTTTCGAATGCTTCATATTTCAGAATCGTCAACTTCGTTGTCATCTGTCCTACAGTCAGGTGAAGTCGATATAATAGACTCGTCTAAGTGCGATTCGCTGCTGAAGCCGTTGCTAAGTAGAAACTGGTGGGGAGTGATGCCCCATCAGATTTGCGCTGGCAAATTAGAAGGGGGAGTTGACACTTGTCAAGTAAGTTGAGCTACGAGTATTTAATTTAAAAATAATAAAAATAAATATGTGCAGACACGAAAAGTATACCGCGCTTTGGACATAATTTTTATATTAATATCCATGGTGATTATATGGTGAAATTATCAGTTTAATTCCAAGAAAACTAAATGATTCTTTCTGTTGAGAATTCGGCAGTAGGCTAATCATATGAAGAAAGAAGAAGAAATAATTTATAATCTGTCTTTGCATCACTTTGAAGTCACGAACCACCGTTTACAGATAAAAGCCGTGAAGTTTAATCGCGTTTCGGTTTCAATCAATGTATTTTCCCATATCTAATCTAAATACAGTCGGTCGATAGCGCATTAAATGAACCCTATGTTCATGTAACTATGTCCTGTCCTCTATAAAAAAAACGACGTATCGAGCACGAGACTAACACTTTTGTGGTATAATTTAAAAATCGAAAATATCGACTCGGGCAGGACTTGAACCGGCATCGTCAGTGTTCCGTGCTGTTCTTCTTTTATTTTCAATTTATTTTCGATTTTTAAATTATATAGTGCCTTCATGTGCAACGTGTAAAAAAATAAAGTTTTGCAAACTCTACTGGTAGTTCTGAAAACCCAACTCGATAGTATGTGTGAGCAAATAATTTAATTCAGCGAATTGCCACTATTTATCTGTCAGGCGTTTTTATAAAATAGTTACCATTATATTTTTATAGGGAGATTCTGGTGGACCACTACAAGTTAAACTTCAGGAAACCCAATACGAAGGAACAATGCACGTGGTGATTGGTGTGACGTCATTTGGATTTAAATGTGGAGTCAAAGGTAGGCCGGGATTATACACCAGGGTGTCAAGTTACCTCGATTGGATAGAATCTATTGTTTGGCCACATCCTACCTAAAACGTTATGTTTTAGATATTTACTCCAAACAGTTTAAACGTGAACTCTTATGCAAATTTTGGTAAATACAATGTGTGTAATTATTGAAGTATTAAAATAATATAAGTTATCAGTATACGTTAAATAATCGTACCAAATGTATAGTTGGATATCTTTGTTATTAAGGATAATGCATCATATAATGGCGATGAGAAATGTATGAACTAGTATTTTAATAGATAATAATTATGTTTAATGTTTTTCTAAAATTAGTGGTTAAGGTAAAACTGTGATATTAGGAATAAATTAGATGTAATATTTATGCTAGCAAATATGACAACAGCAAAATAAAAATATAAAAGTATAAACATATTTTGTTTTACAAGCCAACTTAGTGTAACGGGGTCAAAAGTTTATTCGAACGGTACATTGACATAGCGATATCTTTTAATATGGGACACATGAGTCATCATAAATCATCTTAAATTGCAACATACCTCATATTATTTACTCATATATTTAATATCCTACAGTAATTTACAGGCTTTAAACAACATATATAGGGGAAAGAAATAATTTATATTGTTTATTGTTTTATTAACAATTTTATCTTATTAAAAAAGGTTTAATATAGTAGTAAATTGGTGAAATTTTTCACTTGTCAAAATATCCAGTCCAGTGCGGAGAAAACATAAAAGATCATATACCACATATAAAAATGAACCCGTCGGCCATTTTGTCATATAACGGATATTGAGATGAGACCGACCCGACGTGTAGAACATTTTTTCCTTGTTTATTCTAAAACGTTAATTTTTTTTTGTGACGAAACATGTTTAATTTCGACAAAAATTCGCAAAAGACGGAAATATTCAACAGTATTTTTATTATTCGAGTGATAATTTTGTTATCTATGTGTTGTTCTGGTAAGTAGTTTACAAAAGTTTATTTGCTTTACTAAGAAAAAAATATGTTTTTTCCGAAACATTTTTAATACTCAAAGATTACTAAAATCTAAGGCAGCTAACTTTATTATTATTTAAGACACAACTGGTGTTCTCCACGAATACAAGCCATTCCTTACGAGATATCAGAATGGCACATTAGTAAGAGAAGACACAATCACATTCCACGATGCAGGAGATAAAAATCATAAGAACCGGACCACGCCAAAAGAAGAAGATCCATGTGATAAGTTTGTCCCGCTGAAGCCAAGATTCGCGATAAAGGGTGCTAGAATCAGTGATCTAAGTATGTTTTACCTTTGATTAAAACGCACTATTTGATTTTTATTAGAAGTCTAAGAAAAATAATAAAAAATATAAATAGCCCGTTTGAAGCCAAAAGGCGTTTTCCTTAAACTTAATAATTATTGTGAATGTCGATATTCATATTTACATACATCATAATACCTTTTTAATACGAAATAGTAATTATAATTAATTAGTTTATAATTAAAAATTTAAAAAATGTATGACCCGAGCAGGACTTGAACCGGCATGTATAGCGAAGTTTAATAATTTCAATATCTATAATTTTTTACAGAATGTGCCGAATACATGCTGGATTTAGTAAATCGAGAAGCAGTGAGGGAAAGAGAGGAAAAATGTAAGTCTTTAAACTTCGTGACTTTTAAGTTCCGATGACATGACGCATTAATAAATAGATTATTTTTCGATAGATGTCACCACATATAAGTAGTCAAAGCAGCTTCAAAACTTGAAGATTAAAAAAAACATTGCCCAAAATATTAAACGTCAGTTTAATATGTTGAGCAATTTACCTTTTATTTATTTGTTACATAACTGTATACTGTGTATTTTGGGAATCAATGTTTATTTCTTTTTTATGTAAAATAAGTATCTTAAGACAACGACTGAAAACATATCGAAATACACACTTTGATAAGCATATGGCTAACTAGTTACAATACGCTGAGTACATACCTCCGGTCCCGTGTATTATTATTGTGGTGTCTATATGTGCACTAGTATTGTATGGGTCTAAGATTAAGAAACAAAGGGGTCGGGTATAAACTTATCTCACCACCTATTATGGACACTTAATCTATAATTATGTATTACTCTTAATAACGCACTGGACTCGCGGAAATTATAATGTATATATTTCAAAATCTTTCTCACACGCGGGGCATAACCATATATACATCTATTTTACAGTCACTAAATTATTAAAACTATCAACTCGCACGAGCGGTACCAAAAAATCTGCCCGCGCGCTACTTTCGTTCGGCCGTCTTATCAATAATACAAAACTACCCTCCTATTTATTATTTTATTCCGAACAACTACTCTTAGAGTGAAGAAATCTCAGAACCAAAATTAATATTAGTTTGGAATATTCAAGTGGCGCCAATCTTCTGCCAGTTTCTGTGACCCTGGTTAAAGTCAAATAAAGTAACAACTTATACTTTAAATACATGAACAATTTCAGGCAAACAAAAGCAAGGTATAAAGGTAATTAAAAAAGGAACTCAAATTATAATAAGCAAATATTCCACTAGACCGGGACAATATCCTCATATGGTATGTATAATATTAGAAATTTAAAGGAATTTTGTAAAGAGTTTTTGAATAGCGTAAACTATATATATACATAATACCGAACAGTGATACGTCACGATATTTGTATGTGGAAATAAATTTGATTAAATACAAAAATAAATTAATATTACAAGACTTATTGAGTTATTTATTAAATTTTTTATTACTTATTGCATTGATATATATCTATATATTTACGTTACTCTTCTTCTTTGTAGTCTTTAGTAAATGCAGAAAAAAACGGAATGGTTCCATTTTCGGGCCATTAAATCTTATTCGTTGTATGTGTATATTTATATTTTATCGAATATTTAATTAAAATTATAATTTTAAGTAAGACTAATAACGATAATTATATCAGAATTACATTACAGGCAGCCTTAGGCTGGCAGACGAAACGGAATGAATGGGAATTTCTATGTGGAGGTTCTCTTATTAGTCCTAACTTTGTATTGACTGCTGCCCATTGCTCGTCTACCTCCAATGACAGACTGGAGCGTAAAGCACCAGATATAGTCAGATTAGGTGCAAGAGATATTCAAGGAGTAAGTCAGTTATAGCGTAGAAACTTTGTCATTAGAACACAAATCTTCAGCCTCTTTGAAAACACCACTACTGATTATCAGAAACGTTGAGTTAAAAATAAGTTATATTACAGAGTACAAAATTCGAGAAATCAGTTGATATAAGAATCAAGAATTTCATCAGCCATCCTAGTAGAAACGTGTTAACAAAATATTACGACATAGCGCTCGTTGAGTTAGACTCTTCTATAACATTCTCCCAACTCATTCAACCAGCATGTCTTGAAGGGAAGTTCTATACCTCTAGACATAACGTTACAGTCACAGGATGGGGTGTTACAGACAGTAAGTTAATAAATCTACAAAATAATTAATATTACTAATAGGTAGAAATGTTATACTAAATTTAAAAAAAAAAGAAAATGTTTTTTTTTTATATCGTATTATTTGTGCCATAGTGTTTTTGTTCCTCTTATAATTAGTAAATATGGCGAAAGACTATGTTGAATTAATTTTTACTTGGCGAATTCATTTATACGCAATTGTTGATCAAACTTTTGTACCCAATACAATTTAAGTTTCCTCGGGATTCGAACCCAGAATTTCTGACGCAATGCTAGGCAAAACGTTTAACCATTACGCTCCAGGCGCGGTATAAACTACCCAGCTTTATATATAACTTGTCAAATTGTATGTATAAAAGTAATTTTATTAAATTTTACATTTTCAGCTAATACTTTTGCTCTGTCTTCCCGTTTACAAGCGGGAGATGTCGACATTATAGATTCTCAGTACTGCGATCTACTATTGCGGGCTTTTCATGACCGAAAGTGGTGGGGTCTTATGGACCACCAGATGTGTGCGGGAAAGATCGAGGGCGGAGTTGATACATGTCAGGTAATTATAAAATAGTAAATCCACAAATGATGAGTATGCAATGTAACAACAATCATTCAAGTCAAAAGTGCACTCGTGCGATTCCATTAAGAAATATTTATCCATTATTTTAGCATTTGATCAATTCAAATATCAACAGTAAGGCAGTTTTATATATTTGCTTCCATTTTAACATCCGATTAATATTATAATAAGAGAAATGTTATTTTGTACAGTTGCAATTTACAATAATTTTAATAATAATTGAACTATAATACACATAAAACCATTACCATATTAATTTTACAACAACATTTATAACATTCCGTCATATTGATGCCAGGATTAATACAATTTATGTTTGAAATCTTATAGAATAGTAATATATTATTACTTATTATTTCCAATATTATATACTAGCAGACCTGGCAAACTTTCGTTCTTCTTGTTAAATTTAAAAGATAGATTTATAGACAGACAGCCACAGGGGTTTTATAAGATTAGATTAAAGAAGAATAACTGTTCCTGTGTCTTTCCTCATTTCCCTCTATTCCTTTGCTCCTATTAGTCATAGCCTAATGTTTTATAGCCTAACGCCTTCCTCGATAAATGGTCTAACGAACACAAAAAAAATAAATTCGAACCATTCGTTAAACAAGAAAACTCTTTACTTTTATAATATTAGTATAGATGTACAAATTTAATAATATTCAGACCGCCTCCTTTGCGCATTGGTAAAACACGTTTCCCAGTATTGAGTTCACTGAGATACTGTGTATGTGTTGCGGTCGAACAGGACACAGAAATCCGATATTTGCTATATAGTATTAATTAGGTTTTTAAACAGACACAGACGTACACATATGTGAAGAAAACTTAGAACAATGTAATTTCACTCGCCATTCTCTTGCAGGGGGATTCTGGAGGACCACTACAAGTTAAGTTAAAAGAAACGAAATACGAAGGGTCAATGCACATGGTGATTGGAGTGACTTCTTTTGGTATCAAATGTGGAAAGAAAGATCAGCCCGGAATATATACGAAAGTCTCAAGTTTTTTGGACTGGATAGAGAGTGTTGTGTGGCCAAAATAAAGAATACAGTAGAACAAGACAGTTGAAGAAGTATGTGTTTTTTTAAGTAACTTAAAGTAATCTTAGGCCCTGTAAGCATTAGATGGTTGGTGGCCAGGTCGGCCGTAGTCAAAGATATAAAGGAAACGTTGCTTTTCCAAGCTTAAAATTTGTAACATCACCTCTTCTTCGTTTACTAGTATTTATAACCTTTTTAGTATGCAGATTATATAGATTTAATTAAGTAGTATTATTTAATATGATAAAACTTTATAATATATTGTTGTTTTCCTTTCTTACACAAAAACTATAGCCACGGTTTAAAACGCCGAATATGGTTAATTAAACTTAATTACAAATTATTTTAACTACTGTCCGACGTTTCGTGACGCGTACGTCTCCCCGAGACCACGGCTGCTGCAAAGCATCCAAAACATCGGGCCGAAGTTAAAATAATTTGTAATTAAGTTTAACCTACCATATTCGGCGTTATAAACCGTTAAATTTATTAAATGTGTACTACACGCGTTAACTACAAACAGTATTTGATTGGACCTTGATATTTTCATATCAACCTGTTTACGGACAGCGCGTTCGAAGTTAATCATTGCAATGCTACGGGTTTGTGCCCCGCCTGTGTCTCACAAATAGTAAATCTTTCTTTTTATAACAAAAAATATCTTCATGAATATTATCTTCTATCAAGTAAACTGCATGTTCAATCGATGGAAGTTGAAATACCCTAGCCATGTAACATTTTAACAAGATGCGTTGTTGGTCCGTTTGTCGCTATTTTGCTTTGGACCTTTGGAAAGCCTTAAAGTGAAATCACGCGATTACCTACTCTTAACTGCTTTCTCATCTGTGGATAGTGGTTAGTGACAAGGTTATGTTTTCAATTCCTACCACATTTTGAACAGGTCAAAAAAAAACCTAATTGTGTATGTATTTTTTTTCTTCCGGTTTTTAAATAAACTAAATAAATATTTTTCTGTAAATGAACAAAAACTTCTGTAAATACTGACATCAAAGCTAATTAAACACGAAAATAACTTTTCTAAACTTATATTAACATTCGAGGGTTGCTCCACGGGACATGTTTAAAGAAAATTATATGAAAACTCAGCGAAAATACTTTATATAACTTAGATTGGATTGTCACCATCATAATAAGGCTGTCATATGTACAAAGATTAACAGCACCTCAATTACGAGTACTGTTTGGCCTTAATTAAAATCAGTTTTCTAGAAATACAATCGATGCAAAAATATTATTTTAAAAAGAGGCGTTTATTCTCCATGGCTTATAATCTGATACAAACAACACATTGCTCCTGTATTATTTCTATTTATTCTTAAAGTACTACCGAGTTTAGGATATGTCTATAATTTTTGTGTATAATACCTTACCTTTGTTTAATAACAATTACTTTTTTGTTTAAGAAACGGTATATATGTAACATGTAAGCTTATCTCGCGCTGTCATATTCCATTTTTACTGCAACTGTACTACGGCAGGTATGAAAGACCACAGACCAACCAATATTTTGAGTCACCAAGTTGACTAGTGGTAAATTTGATAAAAACAAATGATATTATGTTTGATATAAAATGGCTTACGTATTAACTCTGTGATGACACATATTATACGTCTCCTACACAAACAGGAAATGCACACTTACGTCAATTTGCGCTCAGCTATTTGACTGTATAAGGAAATATCTAGTGAACAGCTGGGTTAATATGCGCGGTATGACATATATCTCTAGCGAGTTTCGACAAACTTTGAGTCTTCGGGTCGAAATTTTAAATACAATATGATGTATGAAAAAGTCATCAACAACGAGGTGATTATTTTTTTGTATAGTCGACTTATTTCAGTTTTATCTTATGTTAATCGACGATATACTGCAAGAGATGAAAAACGAAGGCGAATCTCGAGCCGTGCATGCTAGGCCTATAGGATTATACATAGGCACAATTATAAAAGATCCTTTGTTACTTTGTATGTTTTAATATATTTACTCGTTTGCGCTGGGACAGTTTAATTCTTGTCGGAGTACCTTATTTACATAATATGGAAGTCCTGGGGCAAAGAGTTTCGCTGAAACTTGGTATTCTGTATTTAATGTTGTGAAATCCCGTTTCCCCCCATGGGGCATGGGGCGAAATGATTTCCTGATCAGTGTCAGTTTTACTGATTGGTTCTTTTACAGGCAAGTAATTAATCAGACTTCTACGCTCTAGCCGACCGAAAAAAAAACATTGTTTCCCCAGGATTCGCACCCAGCACCTCTCATGCTTAACGCAATGCTAGGCAATACGTTTAACCATTTGCGTACAGAGGTGTTCCGTATTTAATACCTAATTTTAAATACTGTAAACATGTTTTTAACAAATCAATTGAAATAAGACTTAACAAAATTAAGTAATAATACTACCTTATACTAAAATTATGCGAAGGATCTCTAAAACAGCTTTTACTAAGCTCAGTTATATACTAAGCTAAATCAAGATTTTCCTTGTCAGAAGCGCGTTAATATACTAATAACACAGACGGTTATAAAACGAGTTTGGAGTTAATGTTCTAGTTGAATATATAGTAGTGTTGTTGATGAAGATGGTGTCCGTTGAGATATTGCTTTGCTTAGTTTTGATCAGCACTTGCAAAGGAGGTTGGTTATTTTTTTATAGTATTACGTATCAAGGTTGTATATAATTTTAGCTTAGTTGTGTCTAAAAGATTTTTACATTTTTTTTAGTTAAAATCCGTTCTAAGTCCTGCCGTCCGTGACCGTGTCGAATTTTTGTTTTTTTTTTTAAATCTAATTTAATTAAGTTATGTTTATTTTTATTGCATAGTGGTTAATTTAGTCATAAATAATATACAATTTTCTATAGAATTAACATTTAATAAATCAATTATTTTTAATATAGCAAAGACTAATAAGAGATGTAATTTAATAAAATACAAAATAATCATTACATTAACATAAACGATTAAAATTGTTAAAACCATTGAAATGTTTAAGCATTAAATCGTTTTTTTTTTTCAGACACCAGTACATTAGATTTTAGCGACAGTGATCTAGAGAGCATTATTTTGAAGGCTTTGCAGGTAATATTTTATGGAATTGTTCATTTGACGTGCTTGTTGGTTCAATTTTAACATGTATAGCTAAAAGCTAACGGACGTAGGTACCATTCCCACTCATATTTAGATCGAACTCATACTTTATCGTATTTCACGAACCACCGTCAACGGCTCATCTTAATAAGTCAACTAGATTATTTTACCTTTTATTAGGTCAATCCCGTGCTTGCTATTTTCTTATAAATATTTCAAAAAGTATGATCACTTTTATTTTATGGTGCCTAATTGTATTTTCTTGGCAGGACAATGAGACATTGTCAACAGACTTTTCAAGTGGAGCTGACGAATTATGTAAGCCTTTCAATTCAGTGAAGCCAGATTTTCACGTTGCAGGACAAAGAATTAGCGTAACCAGTAAGACGTTTTATATTAGTATTCAAGTTCTGATAAAGCGGTACGCAAATATTGTTTGTAGCCAATTTTTTGTTTGAATCAGACAACTAATACGTTTGCTAAACAATCAAATAACTGTTTCAGAATGTCTAGAATATAAATGGGAAATAAAAAACCAAGCAGACGAAGATGTAGCGAATGAAAAATGTGAGTTATTTCCACGTATTCATATTATACCATAAGAATTGTATTTATTAAATTAATTATCATAGTTTTAAAAAATATCCCTATGCCGCGGGCTTGAGTAATGTTTGTGATTTTGTTTTTTAATCTTACTTTAAAATATTTATGTAATTTATCCCTTGTACGTGTTTTTTGTATTTTTTTGCAACACGAAAGTGATATTAAAAACATTTGTCTTTAAGGCCGGACATACCTTATATCTCAAATCAAGCGTGGAATAATCCCAGAAATATTAGTATTTGTTCCACCTAGTGTTATATTTGGAGGTGTAGATGCGAAACCTGCTGAGTTTCCTCATATGGTAAGTCAAACCTTTCTTATCAGCGTTTCGTGTATCCTATAAAACTGTGTAATTTTTTTTGACATTTAAAAAATTACATCTATTGTCAAACATTTAAAATACTGCGTAAAGCTTTCATTATTCAGTAAATTATTAAATCGCAGACTGCAGTTAAGGACGTCAAAGATACGATATTACTTTAAACTATATTTATGTATACAAAAATTAACTTCTGTATGTAAAATTCCGAAAAGAGAAATAAGAAAAACAAATAAACACTATAGAGTACTTGTAAAAATAACAAATGCATTATTTAAATAAAACACTTTAACGGTTAAAACGCGATATATTAGTTAAACTTATTTGAAAATGATTTTTAACTTCGGCCCGACGTTTACTAATATATCGCGTTATAAACAGTGAAAGGGTTTTATTTAAATAGGTATTACTCGCGTAAACTATAGACAGTATTTAACAAATGTATTATTTTCAAAACAAAATTAATTGAAATCGAAAAAAGGCACAATTCATATATCAATCATTATATAAAATAAGGTTCGACGTCTAGCAATTTGATTTCTTATTAACGAAAGCAATCTTCACAGGGTGCTATAGGATGGAAGGCCAAAGACGAATCTAAATGGGTGTTCAAATGTGGCGGTTCATTAATAAGTGAGAAGTACGTTCTAACTGCTGCACACTGCACCTGGTTGCCAATTCGAAAACATCTAGATGTCTCGAAGGCTACTCCAGAAGTTATAAGATTTGGCGTGGAAAATATTGAAGATTATATGGTTTGTTTGTTTCTATGGATGTCGAAAAATGTTCTTTCCGCTGATAATATATTTATTATATGCATATTTGTCCTAAATGTCAGTTATCACAATGATTTTCTTAAACTTGCAACTGCACGATTTTAATAAAAAAATTTACCATTGTACCGCAATACAATATAGTAGTGACCGAAAGTGGACCAGCAAATCCCAAACCACATACACACGTTCAAAAGTATTTAATTTGTTTCAGTTTCAAATAAACGGAAAACCAATAGATATGACAATCAAAACTATAATCAAACACCCTCGTTATAAACCGCCGCAGAAGTATTATGACATCGCTCTAATAGAATTGGAGGCTGCGGTGAAATTCTCGCATACAGTTCGGCCAGCGTGTCTGTTCACTGAGCGGACGCTTGACACGGGATCAAAAGGCATCTTAACTGGATGGGGTGTTACCGAAAGCGGTAAGATATAATCGAATCTTTCTTTCCTATGTACATTTTCAGAATTCGGCTGTCGTAATTCAGAAATGGTTCTCGACGTTTCCCCATCACTAGTGTCATCATCAGATCTTTGACTAATTTACAAACAAATACCAACTACGGGAACTACTACTAAGGGAACAGATAGCGCAAGCGTTGCAGTTATACATTAGAGATCCAAAACGTCACGCCGTAGTAAAAATAATTTTTAAATTAGTTTAAATAATTAGTTAACAAAACCTTTAATGTCGCGTTTTCAACAGTTAAAGTGTTTTATTTTAATGTGTAGTAAATGTGCACTACTCGCGTAAAATCCAGACAGTATCTTTGCCTAAGACTAATACAATATTTACACAATTCTTTAATCTTTCGTAATTCGTTAAAAAAATGTAGTTTTCTTATAGGAAACCCATCGACGGTTCTTCAGAAGGCCGTCGTTGATATATTTACGACAGGGCAGTGTAATCCACTACTCCAAGACACTTGGAACAGGAACTGGCACGGTTTCGCTAAACATCAGTTATGTGCCGGAAAACTCGCTGGAAAAGTCGATACTTGCCAGGTAACTTACACCTTAAGCAATCCAAAGCAAAGCAAAAGAGGATTATTTAATTTAATTCAAACTCGTTTATTGCTGATATAAAAACTAAGTTGCGACCAAAACGTCGAGAGTTCCATTCTAAGTCGGTCCTCATAAAATAAATATTTTATTTTATAATTTGTGTAAAATAACAACAACAAGGTCGTTAGGTGAGTGGTAGTAGTGTCTTTTTAAAAGCAATTTATAATTTAAAAAATATTTTTTTTTCAATTTATTTTCGATGTTTAAATTATATAGTGCCTTCATGTGCAATATCATGTAAAAATATTAAAGTTTTCAAAGCAATTAATTATTTTTTAATCATGTTAAAGTCTTGGTGCGTACTCTATAATCTATCTAATCTATCTATAAAGTATCTAATAAGTAGACAACGTGGGAACAAATTAACTATGTAGAACCTAGTGGTTAGAATTTTGTTTCTTGTGAATTCTAGTCATGGATGCTAAATAAGAACACATTACGATGAAAAGAGCTGGCTAGCTCATAAGTCTGTAGACTTTTGTTTCATAATAATATAAGCTTAGAACACTCCTGCGCAAGCAAGAATACGTTATTGTATTTGTCACTGTTTAATATGGCTATCATCCTGGGACAATAATGTTTGCTTGCTAAAAGTATCATTATACAGAGATTATCAATTTAGCAGAAATAGAAACTTTTAAATTAAAATGTCTTTATTTTTAATTTCAGGGCGATTCCGGCGGTCCTTTACAAATCAAAATAGATAGTGGCTCAAATGCAACTATGAGTACGGTGGTCGGACTTACGTCATTTGGAGTGAAATGTGGGCAGAAGGACAAACCAGGCATTTATACCAAAGTGTCCTCTTTCAGAAAATGGATCGAGAATATAGTTTGGGGACATAAAGATAGTCCGGTTGCACAGAATAAAACAGAAGGCCCATCATTGTTCAAACGAAAAAATATTACTTTGAGTGGTGGACTTGTGACTTTTTAACAAACATTAAATGCAAATAGGTGTGTATTAAGTTGATATATTATGTTCTATTATATATAAGAAGAAGACATTGGTATCTTTTTAAAAAGGAGTAGCTCGCTTCCACTACAGTCTCATACAATTCAATCATAAATGATTGCAACCTATACGCCGTATTTTGGGAAGACAAACTTTCCAAAGCTAGTGATAAACGTTGTAACATTGAGATGCCTTGATCAGTAATTAAGGAAAAACAAGCATATTTGATTTTTATTTTATTCAGAATATTCTTCCTAATTATTAATCTTAGCTTAGTTTAAATAAAAACCTTTTTCACTGAATTACAATCCCCGCCACACCACATCTTCGATCCAGTCTATGAAGCTGGACACTCTCGTGTAAACACCGGGCAGATTGGGCAATGCACATCCTATCCCAAATGACGTCACGCCTATGACGTAGTGCATAGATCCTTGTGTTTTAATTGGTAAGGGAATTTGCACTTGTAATGGCCCTCCAGAGTCACCCTAAAATGATAAATATAAAAACAAAATTGATTCTTATTTATGTTGTCAATTTTTAATAACAATTATGTGAATAGAACTTCCTATGCCTTTATAAGCCTTCTAATAAATGAAATACTTAGCAACAAAGACGTTATTCCTCAATACTTAAATAATTAAATCTTACCTGACAAGCATCTACTCCTCCGGTAAGTTTACCCGCACACAGTTGGTGGGATTCTAGACCACCCCACAGTCTACTACGATGTGGTTTTAACAAATTATCGCATGTCTCAGAGTTAATAATATCTACCACTGCTGCCTGTAGATTTGGGGATGTTTTCATTCCGGCTGTAGAAATAAAATGAAAACATAGGAATAATTCATTGATTATTCTTTTCTTTTCTCAATATATGAGTTTTAATTGTATTTAAGTTAAATTTTCTGAATCTTTAGATGGGTTCTTGACGTTTCACAATCATGAGTAGACGTTAAACGTTCTTCGGCTAATGCTCAGTCTCCCCGTCAAAGAATCCCCAACGCGTCCTGAAGATGTCACTCACTGGTGATGACGAAGCATCGAGAACCAATTTTATATCACGATGTCCGAACAACTTAATAATATAAAATAAATAAATATAATTGTTTACCTGTTTCAACAATGCCCCAACCAGTAGTTGTTGCTTTATTGCCTAATTCTTTGGTATCGAACTTGGACCAAAGACACGCTGGCTGAATAAACTTAGTGAACACCACTGCATCTACTATCTCTATTATTGCAATATCGAAATATTTTTTGGGAGAGTTGAAGTTTGGGTGTTTTATTATTCTTTTAATTTTGGCGTCCTGTGGATTACCTCCGGAAGTGAACTGGAATAAAATCAACATTTTATAAGTATTTTAAGAAATTACTAAATACTAAAATAATAATTTAAAAATCAGCTGACGTCATTACTTATTATTATTATCCTTGTCATCTTATTGTTTACTTTTATCGCATTCATTCTATATTATGGTTAACTGTTTCATTTATGATTTTATGGCTAAAACATTTTCCTCATAAACAATTCATAATTATTATTTTCCCCATTGTTTTATTTTCCAGTTACCAACATCAATACTTACCACATCAACTATATTTTTATAACCCAGTCTGACAATCTCTGGGACTGTATCAGCTAAGCTGGCATCACGTGATGAGACTTGGGAACAATGAGCTGCGGTCAAAAGGAATTTTGAGCTAATTAATGAACTGCCACACTTAAAGATCCATGTTCCAACAACCGCTCTCCAACCAACAGCACCCTGAGGGGAAAATGCAATTTGATTTTCTGATATGTGTTTAAATAATATATGGCTGCAGTGATCGGTACACCTTCTCTGTCACAAAAACTATCCACCTACCAAATGTGGAAATTCACCAGGTTCCGCTGCACGACCACCAATAACAAAATGAACATCATGCACACCTGCTTGGTCGCGTCTCCATTTTGAACCTGAAACATTGTATTAAAATTCGATAGCTAATTAAGAGTCGATTATAAATTGATAAAAATTACGACTAATTCGGGCAGGTCTTGAACCGGCATACTTAGCGTTCCGAGCTATTGCTCTAACTAATAGAGCAACCGATATTCAAAGCAGTGACCGTAGATGACGCCATATCTAAAAATACATACATTTGGTTTCCCTTTCCAAGTTGTCTTGTCGTTCTTTTAGTTCCCATATATATTCGTAACATTCTAGAACAGGAAAGTTTGGTATTACATACAGATAAAGTCACATATTCCATTTTTTTAACTAAATTTATTTTGTGTTGTAAAAATCATTATGGTTTTTGCATAAGGATCTCAACTTGAGGAAAATTCCTGCATAATCTTTTCGCAAATACGTAATATAAAATATAATGCAAATGTGGACCAAATAATTTAGTAAAGTAATTAAATAATACAATATTATTAATATAAAAAATACTTACTCGCTTCGCTTATTCTTGTGCCAGGCGCAGAGAAGTTTGGTTTTACTGGGACTGTGTAGGTACATGGATTATTTTTATCACTTGATTCAGAAGCGCGCAATCTTCTATCGAGCACCTAGATATATTTAAAGAGTATATTTAACAATATGAAGGAAAAGCTAAATAATAATATGTACTAGGACAACATAGAATATAACATACTTGTGTCTGCGTAACATTATTGTTTACGCGTTGATCAGCTAAACTGGGATATACTGAAAAAAATAATCACGAAACTTATTCACCTGAGTCACCATCATTATAAAATACCGATAGCAGCAAGATACCGACCTAATAGCGTAAATATAAATATGAACTTCATCTTTTTGTCACAACACCGTTCTTTGCACTATTTACAACAGCAGTTTCGCCATGAAAAGGTACAAAACAGATTTTACTTTATATGTATACGTTGCCTACACTCTTTCCTTAAACTGACGTCTGTAAAGCAACTAATAACAAGATAAACACGTTTGAACTTAAATGTAGGTATCGCGGTGATGTCCCGCGATGTCCAGACGTAAACAAAACGGCGTATTGCTATTATTATTCTTTTCACAATCTCTGACACCAGACTAGTTTCATCTTATATGGTATACAAATAAAATTATGTTTCGTAAATAATATTTTATTACACAACTATCCGTCGACCAATGTGCTTAAACTTCATCTCAAGGTTTACTTATATCAAATAGTGATAGGAATGTTAGCACTAATCATATAATACTTTTTACATACCTATTTCTATCATAGCGGGTCACACGATCCGTAATGGGAGAAATAGATGGTAAGATAGTATGGTGATGGGTCAAACAACTCGGTATTATAAATATCAGTAACAAGTATAAACTATAAGGTACTAAAAATAATCAAAAGAAAAATCTTAACTAGAGATTGATTAATTTGGAAAATTCTTAAAGGTAAATGAAACAAAGCAATGAGAATTATCTGTTCTTTTCAAAATGCAGGTATTAACGTCCATTTTCAATGAGAACATTCAAAATAGGTAATTTGGTCCGATTTTGTTATGTTTAGTGCTTGTTAGAAAAAAATACATTTTATCACAATATTAAGCGCGGATAAAGTTTTGCCAAGTGCGCATTTGTTATTGTATATATTATAATTTATTTTATGACATAGGAGGCCCGACAAATGTAAGGGTTCACTTACAAAATTAAAATTACAAAAAAGTGCATTACACAAGTTTAAAAAAGAATAAAATCAAAATATAATTTATTTATCATGAACTTGTACTTGAACTTTAATACAATATTTGCTTAATTATAATGCCGTAACACATGTAATAGACTCGACAATTTGATTGTATTGAAGAAGTAAGTACTTGAACTTAGGAATATAAAATACTATGGCCCCTATATTACTAGTATACATAAATGTTATTAGTTACAATCCCCGCCACACCACGTCTTCGATCCAATCTATGAAGCTGGACACTCTCGTATAAACACCGGGCAGATTGGGCAATGCACATCCTATTCCAAATGACGTCACGCCTATGACGTAGTGCATAGATCCTTGCGTAGTTACTGGTATCTGGATTTTCACTTGCAACGGTCCTCCAGAGTCACCCTAAAATTAGCAATAAGTGCGAGTAGACAGTCACTCAAAATAATAAATCTTGCTTTTATTTTAGAGGCATAACATCAACATTTTAGAGAGAGAGAGAAATACATTTACAAGGCATGAAAAGTATTCTTGATAAAAAATATATAAAAAATAAATTCTCTTCGAAATATTAATGATGACATATTAATATTTTTCACATGTTATTGCACATGAAGGCACTATATAATTTAAAAACGAAAATAAATTGAAATTTTTAAGTTTAAGGTTGAAATTACATTGCGCGAGAGGTCATTATCAATAAGTTGAAGGAAATAATTTACAAGGCATGAAAATATTCTTGATAAAAAATATATAAAATTCTCGTGTCGAAATATTAATGATGACATACTTAGTAGTCTTGAGAACCGGCTTTTGTAATTTCCATACATTGTAATAAGGTTTTTTTTACTAATCTAGTTTCTGTTATTGTGGCCAGTTTCTTTATTCTACACGAAAAATTGAAAAAAAATTTCCTACGTAATATTAAAGCCTCACCTGACAAGCATCTACTCCCCCAGCAAGCTTCCCTGCACACAGTTGGTGTGATTCTACACCACACCATAGTCTACCACAATGCGGCTTTAGAAAACCGTCGCATTTATTAGAATTTATTACATCTACCTCCGCTGCTTGAAGCTCTGGAGATATTGTCTTTCCGGCTATCAAAGGGAAAATAAAATTATTACAATTAATTATTTTATTACAAAAGATTTAATACTGTCTATAGTTTACGCGAGTAGTACCAAAAAAACACTTTAAGGGTTTAAAACGATAGTCGCGATATAGCACCCGTGGTCTCCCCGTGACCACGGCTGCTGCAAAGCATCCGAAACGTCGGGCCGAAGTTAAAAATAATTTTCAAATAAGTTTAACTAATATATCGCGTTTTAAACCGTTAAAGTGCTTTATTTAAAAATAAGTTTCAAATAAGTTTAACTTATATATTGCGTTTTAAACTGTTAAAGTGTGTTATTTAAATACAAAATATTTGTTAAGAAAATATTATTTTCTTACCTGTTTCAACAATACCCCAACCAGTGAGAGTGGCCTTTTTTCCAAGCTCTTGTGTGTTAAATTTAGTCCAAAGACACGCTGGTTGCACAAGTTTGCTGAACTCCACGTCTTGTTCTAACTCTATTATTGCGATATCGAAATATTTTTTGGGAGGTTTGAATTTTGGATGGTTTATTATTCGTTTGATTTTGGCGTCCTGCGGTTCGACACCCCTAGAGTACTAAAGAAAATATCATTCCATCAATTGTGACATTAGTAAAAAACGAGAAAAATACATTAATTTGGTGAATTTATGAAGAATTGAAATTAAATCACATTTATTTGTTTTATTATTCGATATTAACCTACCACATCAACTATATTTTTATCACCAAGTCTGACAATCTCTGGGACTGGATTGGCTACACTGGCATCACGTGAAGAGACTCTAGAACAATGGCCAGCGGTCAAAAGGAATTTGGAGCTGATTAATGAACTGCCACACCTAAAAATCCAAGTTCCAACGACTGCTCTCCATCCAACAGCACCCTAATAAATGCAATATAAATATATGTGACGAGGTCGTTGATGTAATGCATAGATAAAAATCAACGAGTCGTAGGTATTATCCCCATCAGGTCCAATGATTTTATAATAAATTTTAACTTTTCCGAAACATATTGGACTTTATCCTTATATCTTGATATTTTCCTTGGTAGTAATATCGAAATAAAAAGTTGAATGGAGAGGTCCCCCACAGCCCCTTACGAAAATTAACTACTACTCGCGTAAACTATAGACAGAAGTTTAATCACTTTTTTGTTTTAGTTTGTGGCTTTTCGAATATCCGAAGCCAAAATAGGTCGACAAAGATTAAGTTATGTAGCTGGATTATTTCACCTTTTATCAAGTGATCACCACGCTAGTCTGTCCTCCCCTATCATAAAAAAGTTATCATACAAGATCTGTAATCCAAAAATTGTACACCAACCACGTACCATATGAGGAAATTCCCCAGATACTGTCTTACGTCCACCTATAGTATGACGACCTGGATGTCTTTTCTGGATACCTGGAGAAAGTAAGTTGTTATTTTTGCGAATATGATATGATCAATACTTTTTTAAGATCTTAAACGTCACTAGGGCATCCCATTTGGATGTTTACGGATTAAAATTTCTTCTTATCATTAGAGAAACATACATACATTTGGTTACGTTTGCGAGGTGGTCAGCACGTTGCTTTAGGTCCCAAATGTATTCGAGGCATTCTGTAATAGAAAATTACATTTTACTAACATATTGATTTTTTAAGGCTAAACAGCTAAATAAAGAAATAGACAATTGAGTAAAGCAAAATCCAGAGCCAATTACAAGTTTTCGAAAATAGACAAAAAAATAAGAACTTCAATCAACTTTTAAGAAACTACAATATCAAAAAATGTTAGGGGCTAGGAAAAAAATTACATTGTTAACGAGTAAAAAATAGTACTTCTTAAATTTTTTATAAGTATAAACTAAAACATATTATAAAGTAAAAGCCTCGCCTTGCGAACTGGGGTAATAAGAGATTGATATTTAGTAATGATTTGGAAGAAGGTAATTTATTTAAAGTTTTACCAGTTCGCCATTAAAAAACGTTTTAAATAACCGATAAAATAGTTTATTTGCTTTATGCTTAATCCCTGTAACAATATATATAGAAAAAATAATTTAAATTAACACTAATTTATATTCATTGTAACAAAACTATATCCAAGACTAAAAACATAATTTATAGACCTTAAATGTTTTTGAAACTAGAAGAAAAAGAAAATGACAAAAAATTGTATTCAGTTATTTAGAATTCATTTTAGTCATGATTCATTCAAGTGTGTAACTATAATTAGAAGTGTTTAGGTAATTTTGCAAATACGCTTTGAATCTCCCACTCCACATTACGTTTAAATATAATAATATTTTTAATTAATTTAGATATCTCTAACACATGTACTAAAATTACATTATCTATTATAAGAGAGAAGTTCTAAGTAAGTCAAAACTTATCTGTTCGTGTACTTGTTAATAAAATCGTAAAACCTGGCATGTTTTAAAACTAAACGTGTCTTTCAGCACGCATATGCTGCATTAAGGTCTGTAAGGCCTGAACCTCAGTAGACCTGGTTAAAGTACAAACATCTGGTGTACTTACTCGCTTGACTTATTCTTCTGCCAGATGAGAAGTTGGGTTTAAGCGGGGCAGTATAATTGCATGGATCGTTTTTACTGTTTGTCGTTTTTGTACGCCTAGTAGCACGTATGTTTCTATTGTGTACCTGAAATATGCTAAAGTATTATTACCTTATATCAAACATAAAGTATATAAGTGGAGAAGTAAAGATAGAAATTTTGTTTTGTGGTTCCACACGTTGCCAGAAACCCAGGTCTCGCAAGTTGGCAAGTTTTCTATGCCCTAAATAAATATTATCAGTTAAACAGTCATATTAATATGTTTGTGTCTCGCTCTAATATCAGAAACTGGGATTTCCCTTTAAGCGTGCATTCAACTATGTAAATATATGGATACTTATTACTTACTTGCTGCAACTCTTCAACATTTTGTGCTGCTGTTTGATACACTAAATTGCTGTACACTGCAAAAATAAATTACCATCTATTCTCCATCCACATAATACAACAATACTTAGCACTCAATTTATTGATGTCTCCGATTACCTTCGAAGACAATAATCAATAGAAATATAATCTTCATATTATTTTTGTTATCAAAAACACTAAACGAATGTTCACTTTATTTTTGCCACAATTCCACTATACATGATACGATATTGTTTCGGTTTTATATTTTGTATTCAGTTTTCCTTAAAGGATGTGTGTGAACCTTTAAGAAGCTGCAGAAGTTACTAAATTATAATAGGTGTTGCCACAAACTAGTTTTACCGTCAATACACATAGTGGTAACAGGTACACATTTTGTATTGGACAACCATAAAGTTTTTATTAATACCAAATCATAAGGAAAAATGTATTTGTAATGTCATTAGCTGTTTTAAATTAAGAACTCTTAATACACAAAAAGCATGGACATACATACAGACGTCTATAGTAAGTAACTACTAATGATAAGTAAAACAAAATTCCAGTTTCATTTCAGATCACGGTTTTCTTTTATTTAAATAACCTGTTCTACGAAACTACTGTTAAATAGCAAAAAATAATGTTGTGAATACTAGAACTATATTTTTTACAGCAGTCATATAATTATAGTGACAGTCCTCGCCACACTATGTCTTCGATCCAATCTATGACGCTGGACACCCTCGTATACATTCCAGGGAGATTGGGCAAAGCACAACCTATTCCAAATGATGTCACGCCTATGACGTAGTACATAGAATCTTGTGTCTTTGTTGGTAATGGGATTTTTACTTGCAAAGGTTCTCCAGAGTCACCCTAAAATAGTCATAATGTTAGCGATTTAGATATATTGACAGCAACTCTGATTTATCACTCTTAACAAAGTCGAAGGAAATATTAGACTATTACAAACGTCGTAAATAATCGTGAGAGAAGCCCGATTTATTTCTTGACTTAGTTTATACGTTTGGTTATGATTTGCGGTCTTGCATTAAGACAATGTCTCTACAATAAATCTTTGGCATCACAATTTGACATTTGATGAATATTTTCACTTCTAAATAGTAACTACTTTAACTTATTTTACTAAGCCTTAGAAAATATAAAAAATGAGCCTATTTTTATACCTTACCTGGCAGGCATCTATTCCTCCAGCGAGTTTGCCTGCACACATTTGGTGCGATTCAACACCACACCATAGTCTACTATAGTAACGTCTTAACAAATTATCGCACTTATTAGAATTTATAATATCCACCACTGCAGCTTGTAGTTCTGGGGATCTCTTTTTTCCAGCTGTACAATTAAAAAAAACATATTTTTTTAAATAAGACATTGCTAAAGTTGCTTTAATTGTTAAAAAAGTTTAGTTGAAAACTTCAATTTTGTTGAATCAGTATTCTGCTTACCTGTTTCAACAATACCCCAGCCAGTAACAATGGCCTTTTTTCCAAGCTCATGCGTATTAAATTTAGAGCAAAGACACGCTGGTTGCACAAATCTGGTGAACACTACTTCATCGACTAGTTCGATTAGTGCAACATCAAAATATTTTTTAGGTGGCTTAAAGTTTGGGTGATTAATTATTCTTTTGATCCTTACTTCTTGAGGAAATACATTCTTAGAATACTGAAAAAAACCATATACATTATTTTATAATTTATTTGTTGTAACGAAAATGTTTTCCACATAAATACTTAAGTATGGAATATTATTTAAATCTAATTTTTATTATGACCGTCAATACCTACTACATCAATTATATTTTTATCACCAAGTCTGACTATCTCTGGAACTGGATTAGCTACGCTGGCATCACTGGAAGAGACCCGGGAACAATGAGCTGCGGTCAAGAGGAATTTCGAGCTAATTAAAGAACTGCCACACTTAAAAATCCATGTTCCAACAGCAGCTCTCCAACCAATGGCACCCTAAATTTGGACATAATTAAATAAACTAATTACATATTTATATTATTGTATTACTAAATTATTAATAGTGGTGGTATTTAGATTGGCTAATCCTTAAGGTAGAATATTTTTTGTAAATAAGTAAAATCGCTCTTTAATCACACATCCAAAGCCACGGTCGACAGAGCATCGTCTGTAGATGTCATATGACTGAATTATTTTACCTTCCATCAAGCGATCTTTGTTTTGCACGTCTGTCATTTATTCCAATAGTATTAAAATGCGTTGGTAATTAGAATAACATAAATACGAAAAGTTTGTCAATGGTGGATTGGAAGATGTTTCTGAAAGTGGAACAAGGCTAGGATGAATCTGTTTTTACCATCAACATACCATATGAGGAAATTCTCCAGTTTCCGTATTTCGACCACCTATAACGACAGGAACATAAGATGGCCCGGGCTGTTTTTGTCTCCATAATAAACCTGCATATTAAGTAGGTACTATTAAATTTTTATTACCATTCCATCCATAGTTTACATTCCATGTATATAAGGATACTAACATTCGGTACGTCTTGCGTAGTCGTCAACACGTTTTTTTGCCTCCCAAATGTATTCTAAGCATTCTGTAGAAAAAATCAACAACCGCCATATAAACAAAACGTTACAAATATAAGAGTAAGTAGATGGAAGATGAGATGTCACATCCATATTTATAAGCAAAATGCAAACCTAAATCGAAACAGGATCAAACTTCACGGGTTCACCTTAGGGCGGTGGTTTATAACGCGGATGGAATTTGACATTCCTTAAACACATTAAACGTCCAGATTTTCATGACAGAGCCATGTTTCAGAAGAAATTATAAATTAATTTTAGAAAAAAAAACCACTTGCAAATTTGTCTAACAATTAACATTACAACTTATTTTATCGTGACAGCATTGATAATATCTACAAGCGTAACAATATTACCTTCTAATAACGAAACAGATGATTTTTTGATTGATTTGATTGACAGATACTTACTCACTTCACTTATTCTTCTGTTAGGCGCAGAGAAATTAGGTTTAATCGGGGCAGTGTAGTTACATGGATTGTTAATATCATTTGACTCAGAAGCGCGTCTTCTTCTAAACCGTACCTAGAATTACACAACACATGTTAGATTTGGCCTCCGCGTGAAATAATGTTGCGGCCTAACACTGCGTTAAACAGAAGAAATTTTTTGAATCCAAGGATCTTTTACAATTGAAACCACGTACCTTCTGGTGCCAACCGCTATTGTATGCAGCACTTTGATAAATCAAGTTGATGTACACTGCAAAAGTTCACCAACTTACAACACAATAATACAAATGAATTTATAAATATTAAACACTAAACCTTCTAATAACATTACCTTCAACTGTTATCAACAGCAAAATAATCTTCATACTATTATTTCAACCAAGACTTGCTGTTTTTAGTCACAGGTTCTTTATAAACCATAAGAACGTGTTTTGATTGTATCTATATCTTGTAGTGTTTTCCTTAAGTGTACAATCCAGTCTTAAATGTTAATACTAATTTATAATAAACTAGCGATTAGCGTCCGCTTGAAAGACCAAGTTATTTTGGTCATTATATTAAATACTAGCTGTGCTCGCGACTTCGTTCGCGTGGAATAGTGACTTGAGGTAGAATTTTTAATTATTTAGGCTGTTTATTAATTTACGTAATTGCGTATTTATCGCAGCCAATCTATGTTGTAAGTGCTACTTTGCCGCAACACTCTCGCCTCACCTCACATCACTCCTACTCTAACTCCCACTTTCATTCCTACACTCACTCCCTCTCCCAGTCCCAGTCCCACCCCCACTCCCAATCCCACTCCTATTCTCAAAAAGCTAAAGAAGAAAGTTTCAATGTTCTATCTTCAAAAACCATGAATTTCCATACAAACTTTCACCCCCCTTTTAACCCCTTACAACCTTCTCTTCGCAATAAAAATGAGCCTATGTTCCTTCTCAGGCTCTAGATAATATGTCTACCAAATTTCATTCAAATCCGTTCTGTAGTTTTGGCGTGAAAGAGTAGGTAGACAGACAGACAGAGTTACTTTCGCATTTATAATATTAATATACATATATAGTAGATATAGTCTAGATATACAAGCGGTGTGAAACTGTGTACAAATTTTGCATTCGTCAACCGTTAGGTTTTATTGTAAAATGTGTCTGTTTTGAGCGTTCTTCAACTTCAAAAAACATATTAAATTCATATTATATTCTTAAAGTCGTATGAAAATTTATTGCCAAAGTCACAAATTGCCATAAAAGTCCTGTCTCAGTATTGTAGACATTACTGAAAAGCATTTTTGTATCTTAAATAAACTCATACAATATTTTGCTTTACATTATAAGACGCAACTAGTTTTAAGAGTGTCGAAAAACCTTTTGATCACGTGTTTAACGGTATGTGATTGAAGATTTGCAAAATAGAAATATTTATTAAAAAGGCATTTTGGAACCCTCTTTTTGGAGATTACTTCCTCTTTCGGTTAAGAACACGAAACGTCGAGCAGTAGTTAAATTTATTTTAATTAGTTTAACCAATATATATCGCGTTTTAAACCGTTAAAGTGCTTTCTTTAAATTAGATTATTGTTTAAGAATTACTTTGAGAGGTGTGATTTACTTTTTATAAATAAAACCATATTTGTGTTTCTATTAAGATATTACTTTAATTATAGATGCACACGACACAAAAATGTAATAATAATACTTAGAATTAAAATGCATCCTTCAATACAAATATATTGTAATTACCAAAGTCCTATAACACTAGACTACAATCCTGGCCACACTACAGATTCGATCCAATTTATAAAGCTGGAAACTCTCGTGTATATGCCAGGATGATTGGGCAAAGCACACCCTATTCCAAAAGACGTCACGCCTATGACGTAGTGCATGGATCCTTCTGTCTTTATTGGCAAGGGGATTTTCACTTGTAACGGTCCGCCAGAGTCACCCTAAAACAAAACTCTAAGTATTTTTGCTTCCTATGAATTATAACACCTAATTTTAAAAAAATGAATTTATATCAAAGTGGTATGATTAAAAGGACAATATTTCTTAGTATTAAAATAATTAAATCTTACCTGACAAGCATCTACTCCTCCAGCTAATTTACCCGCACATAGCTGATGAGATTCAACACCAAACCATTGTCTATTGTGATATGGTTTTAAGTAATTATCGCACTGATTAGAATTTATAACATCTACATCTGCTGCTTGCAGTTCTGGAGATGTTGCTCTTCCAGCTGTACAATCAGAAAATAAGACATGGTACGTTGACAAACTTTTCAAAAACAAAATCATAATATGTTCTTAATAAAACATACTTAAATTGCTATTTATTTAACTCAACTAAACCTAAATTACTGTCGGTACTGTCAATAGAATAGAAATTATTAAAACAAAAGTAACTTTACTCACCTGATTCAACAATGCCCCAGCCAGTAAGAGTGGCTTTTCGTCCCAGCTCTTGCGTATTAAATTTAGTCCAAAGACACGCTGGTTGAACAAGTCTGGTGAACGATACTTCATAGACTAATTCTATTATTGCAATATCAAAATATTTTTTGGGTGGATCGAAGTTTGGGTGCTTTATTATTCTTTCGATATTGAAATCCAACGGATATACATTGTTAGAGAACTGAAAATAAATTTTTATTTCATTCAATTTTACAAAAGGGACACACAAGTTCATAGATATTAGCGGTAACTCATTCGGTGACTAATGCAAAGAAATGTTATTTTCCTCACAGAATCGCAATTCACAGTTGCCTTAATCACGTTTTATCCTCAAAATTAATTAATATTCTGTACCGGGGTAAAACTGTGCCTACTGTTTAATTTTTTTTATTTTCCGATCTCATCGCAATACCTACCACATCAATGATATTTTTATCACCAAGTCTAACGATCTCTGGGACCGGATTGGCGACACTGGCATCACGAGAAGAGACCCTGGAACAATGGGCTGCTGTCAAGAGGAATTTCGAGCTAATTAGGGTGCTGCCACACTTAAAAATCCAGGTTCCAACAGCTGCTTTCCATCCGATTGCACCCTACCAAAGTATAAGATTATAATACTCTTATGCAGAAGCAACTACCTAAAAGTAACTTACTAGCAACTTACCATATGTGGAAATTCTCCAATTTCCGTTGAACGCCCGCCTACAGCAAAGGGGACATAGACGGTACCCGGATGATCTTTCCACCATTGGGCACCTGTGTATAAAATACAATTATATTAGGGTAAGTGGATCAAATTAATGCTAAAACATCCAATATTTGAAAGGTTCGTTGGTATCAAAGTATGGCTTTTAATCAACGGATCGTGAGATCCCTGGTAAAAAAAAAACACACATTTGGTACATACATTTGGCAGCTCTGTCGATGTTGTCTTTTCTTTTCTTTAATCCCCAAACGTATTCCAAGCATTCTATAGAAAAAAAATTAAACGCGATTAAAGACACACGGTTTCGCTCGCTTAATTGGAGATTTATTTTGGGCCATTCAAAACAATGGTTTAGCAATATCGTTTATATTTGAAATACTATAAAATATATAAATGGTATTGTATAATATATTGTAGTACCAACTAAATTGAGATATGGTGGCTTAATTACTAAGAGCAACAGAACGTAACGCTGTGGTACTTGGTTTGAGTCGCACCGTGTCATCGATTTTTCAATCTAGGAAATGTTTAATCTTAAAAAATCATTAAAAGATAGCGATCATTTTCCTTGCCCTTATTAATCGTATTATTTGCGACTGAAAATAATAATTAGCATCATCTCGAATACTTACTCACTTCACTTATTCTTCTGCCAGGTGAAGAAAAGTCAGGTTTCGTCGTGGCAGTGTAATTACATAGTCTGTCTAAATCGGTTGATTCTGAAGCACGTATTCTTCTATAATTTATCTAAAATAAGTGTCGTATGAAATGCTAAACAATAAGAAAGGATTTGACAACGTTTATTATATTACGTCTACGCATTTCTCTTGCAGAGTGTTAAGCAATATCTTAAAAAAAATAGATTTAAATAAAAATTATTAAAGTTTATTCAGGTAACCGATTTTTATATTAATCTAGTTTTAGGTCTGGAAACCCTTATAAGTAAATAATACGTGTGCCATGGTAAAAGGATTTTGCTTATTCAACTTTTTTATTATATAAGTAATTAAAATATACTTACTTTCTGGTGATTATTACCTCCGACTCTTAGTTCTGCTAAGCAGCAGCAAACTGCAAATAAAAGTTCACCAAATTTTTTCACTTGCAACACAAAAACTTAATTATACACACGATAAGAAATTAACTTTACCTTGTAAAATTACTAATGATAGCGTAAACTTCATTGTTATGTTATGCATACTTTAAATGCTTACTGTTATATCTTCGTTTCGCTATGAAGTTTGAAATATGTTTTCCTATACAGACGTCTTCTTATTAAGCAGAAGCAAGGTATACAAGTTTTCACTGAAATGTACCTTAGCGGGGATATACCGTTAACGTAATTATCACAAACTTGTTTTATTATATACCATATATGTAGAGATAGTACATATATTCCACCTTAATGATCTTAAAGGCCAATGGACTTAGATTTTTCCTTCTTAGTTTTAATGTCAAGGTTTTTTTCAATTAAGTACGTGTATAATATGATTTACTTTATGACTTTGTAGCGACATAATACTTTGTCTGTAATGTTCATTTAAACTTAATTGACTTGTATATATTGGGAGAATATTTAAATTTAGCCTTTAGAAAAACTAGCAGACCCTGCGAACTTCGTATCGACTAACAATCGATTCCTTTTTTTTGTTATTTTATTGAAAATAGGCATCAATATTTATACAATACTAACGTCCAACTCCATTGGTCTAGGTGGTTCGTTTTAAAGGGGGAAAATTCATGCGGAGTTTGTAAACAGAAGGACACTAAAATTAAAGTCTTAGAGTTAAGTGCTAAACACTAATGTAAGTCATGTTAGATAAGGTTCAGGTTAGGTTTTATTCAAAATATGTACATATTGTGATGTCAGATTAATTGAATACCTAGGTATTGTAATTTGCATCATTATACATATATAAATGCACTTTACGCCAAGAACAAAGTTTATGCTGTTGAAATTGCTTATTAAAATAATTTTATTTTCTTAAAGTCCTCTCCAGACAACGTCTTCAATCCAATCAACAAAACTCGATACTCTAGTATACACGCCTGGAACGTTAGCTTTAGCACATCCCACACCAAATGATGTGATTCCTAGTAAGAAATGCATAGCTAATGCCTTTTCTTTTCGAATTGGTATTTTCACTTGTAGTGGTCCTCCGGAATCACCCTGCAAGTATTTTCAGTTTCATATAAGAAGTTTTATGTAAAACAAACAAACATTTGCAACAAATCACACAATACATATATATATTTTAAAATTTTGCCTCAATTAACGTGTATGCGCTGTCTGACATTAAGAATTTGGAATACAATTACTTGTTTTAGTCAGGATAAACAGCTAAAATATATATCTTTTATCGAGCATCTAGGTTTTTCGTATTTTTGTTCGGTTGTAATGTAGAAATTGTAGTCTTTGTCAAAGAATGCGTTTTTGATGTTGTCAAGGAAAAGATTATTAATTACGACGGCTGAACAGCTGCGAACACCTCAAAGAATTGATGTCTTTCGCTATTTACCTGACAGGCGTCGGCCCCACCAGCCAGCTTGCCCGCGCACATTTGATGTGTTTCCAAACCCTGCCACAATCTACTTCTATACTTGAATAGCAGTCTGTCACAGGTATCGGAATTTATGAAGTCTAGCGAGACGACTTGCAAGTCGGGCGACACGGTTTGGCCTCCTGCGACAAAGAAATCGCTTTTCATTCATATTATTAAAAAAAATTACAAACACGACGACATCTAGCACGCTAAGTGTATAGGTCAGTAGTGGAACGTACGCGTCATAAAGTCAAATAATAATAATAACCATATCTTGTGATCAATACATTAAGGTTTCATTAAAATAAAACGTTTTATACAGAGGACTTCTAAAATCAACAAACAAATAATACTTTATTTTCAACACAACAATATTATAAAAAAAAGATTCAATATTGATAAGTATGTAGCGAGAAACGGCGGCCTAATTGCTAAAAGCAATATCTTCCCGACAACCTTGAAGATGGAGATTTACAATAAGAATAATATTTGATGATAAGGGTAACACTAAAATTAATGATAAATAAAATGCTAAAAATGTTCTTAAAGTTAGTCTTAAAATTAAAGTAATTTACTGAATCGAATTTAAAACGTAGTGCCATTCAAACGTAGAAGCATGTATTTTAGAGAAAACGATTCAAAGAGTTTAAATTAATTTCAATCAAATTATTTTACTGAATATTATAATTAAAAGGGGGGAAAATCCAGAGTTTAACATTAACTGAAAAGGAGGTTTTCGTAGAATGTAGAGCACGGAGAGAAGAACATTGTCAATTGATCTCAGATCAAAGTCGTGAGAAGTACCCAGGAAAATAAAACGTTTACGATAAAAAGAAATGAAATCAAAACGATGTGGAATCAAAGGCAGAGAAAGTGCACATCACGCCTCTTTCATACTGTCAACCAATTGAGTTATTATCGTCCAGATATTTTTTAGAATAATATATCCAATTTGTTTGTAATTATACAGTTTACATACCAGTCTCAACAATGCCCCATCCAGTTATTGTTCCTTTCGGGCCAAGCACATTAAAATCGTGGTTTCCCCAAACACAGGCAGGTTGTATGAAACGAGAAAATTTCACCGTTTGTTCCAATTCTATGATTGCAATATCGAAATATTTTCTTGGTGGATTAAAGTTTGGATGATTGATGAACCTCTTAATTCTTACATCGTATGGATCTTGATCATTGTAGGTCTGTAAAAAATGGATCAATAACAAGATATTATCAAATACAATTGAAATAAAACACGTTTAATGGTTTAAAACGCGAAGTTACAATTATTTACAATTTACTAAACTAAGGCTTTACGTTTCTGATGCTTTTTAGCAGTTGTAGGTAAGAAAAATTTCGTTTTAAACCGTGAAAAGTATTTAAAAGTGTACTATCAGTGTAACCTACACACAGTAGTGGAGAAAGTAAAATGACGAAGAATACCGCACATACATTGACGCGAAACTTTTATTTTAAATCACTTAGCCTTACAATTACGAGTAAGTTTAAATAAACCTAAACTATCTCATCTTCTAAAAGATACATCACTCGCCCTTTTCTTATGAGTTGGCAACATATCTTTTCAATGGAGTTTAATAAAAAGATCAACTTACCACGTCCAGTATGTTCTTATCACCGAGTCTAACAATCTCTGGAAACACATTAGCGACGCTAGTATCTCGCGAAGGAACCTTCGAGCAATGAGCGGCACTCAATAAATATTTTGGACTGATTAACGAACTGCCACACTTAAAAATCCAAGTTCCAACAACTGCTCTCCATCCCAAAGCGCCCTATACAAATGTAATTAGTAGCAGATTGAGCAGATTAGGTAATCTTGCCCTTCATTCATCTATTATCAGAATTTTACATATAGCGAGGATTGCAAAGAATATTGTAGAATAAATAGAAAACTTTAATATTTTTCACATGTTATTGCACATGATGACACTATGTAAATTAAAAAAATCGATTATAAATTGAAAAAATTACGACACGATTTGGACTCGACATTCACAAACGGAATGCTGTATGGCGGTTCAAGTACTGCTCGTGTCGTAATTCTTTTAATTGATTTAATAGAAGGTATTGTAAATTGTCTACCATATGCGGAAATTCTGCAGGTTTCGCGGGCCTCCCTCCTATAGCGCCGCCAATGCCTTGTTGGTTTGCTAGCCAAAGTCCACCTAACACAAGGATTTATGTCTACAATATTATATTAAGGGTTTAAAACGCGAAATATATGAGTGAACTTGTCTCCCCGTTACCGTGTTTTATTTTAATGTGTACTATTCGTGTAAACTGCAGATAATATTTAATTATATATTCGAACGTAGGTAAGTAAGTGCATTTTCTTTTCCAACCAATAAAATGTCAACCACAACATACCTTATTTTTATTAGAGGCGTAATACAAATATAGTAAATAAAAATATAATTAAAGTAATTAACAAACCGCTTCCAACAATTAAATGAATAAAAATAACTTACAGGCAAGACTTTGTGCTTCATTCATTTTCATATTATTTATCATCCAAATATAATCATGGCATTCTGAAAAATATAAATAATAGGTAAGAAATTGCGTAATTGACAAATAACAAATGTAACTGATGGTCGTTGGTATAGCGGTAGCAGTGTATAGCTAATAATAAACAGTCGTGAGTTACATCCCCACCAGTCCAATCTCTTTCAATACAAATATTATTTAAAACATTTTGTTCAGAAATCTGACTGCCAAATGTGTCGTAGGAATATTAAAATCCCGTCGCGGCCACGAAAGACCATAGACGAAAAAGCTGAGAAGTAGAATCGCGTTTCGGTTTGAGTCTGTGGATTTCCGTATATCCCAAGCCAAAATAAGGCTGGCCTATTTCACCGTTCATCAAGTGAATGATGATATCTGTTCTCCTCTATAATAAAAGAAAAATATTTAGATTTTTACTTACTTTCTAGACTAATTCGCCTGCCAGGAGCTGAAAAGTTTGGCTTAGACGGCGCTGTGTAGTTACAAGGGTTTTTATAATATTCTGGAGAACCAAAAACTATAGCTCGTTTTTGGACCCTGTCAATATTCAAAAAATGCTTAAGTTATACTATCGTCATATTAATATGCATATAGTAACGTTATTTTCTTCGTTAAAAGTAAATACCAAAGTTACAATATTCAAATACTTACCTCGATGATGAATAACTTTGTTCAAACACTTCGAACGACTGACCATAACACAACACTGTAATAAGTAAAATTTTATATATTATATATAACAATACTAGTAATGTTTATTATTTAAAATCTAAATCTTACACAAAAATAGCGGTAACAGGCCAAAAACGTCCATCATTGTCACTTCTCTGGTAAAAATATAATATTTGTTGCTACTACGGCGAATCTTCACTACACACAATGACCTTAGAAAAACTATGATTATATATAATTAGGGCTACCAGCGGTCGATATTTCAAGAGAGCCTTTGAAAATACATAAAAGGATTTTTGAAGATTTGAACGTTGACTTCTCCCTTCACTTCTCAAACATAAGTCTGCCCTAATTGTTATATTAAATTTGATTTAATAGCTAATATTAAATATAAACGATTATTAAATTGCACAATTGGTAACCCTACTCGTACAAACAGGTTATATCAGGATCTTCGATTTAATAACAGCGGCTGTATCTTTATTGTTTTGTATCACAAGATTTATCGAACACGAATCTTATGATTTTATAGTCAAATATAATTCAAATTATAACTTTAAAATTTTAAACATTGCTATCACTAGGACTGTAGGCGAGCAGTCAATTGTAAAACAGTAACGAAAGAAGATGGGAGTTACTTACGATTTGTTCGGGGTAAGCGCAGTTTACCCGAGTAATACACATTTGAATAAAATACTTTTAACGGTTTCAAACGCGAAATATGTTAATCAAAAATATCGGGCCGTAATTAGAACAGATTAGCGTTTTAAACCTATAAAGCTTTTTATGTACATTCAACGGGGTATTTGCATCATAATAAAATATATTTTTTAAACGATTAAAGTCCAATGTATTTGTATGTGTCGGTTAAAATATTTTCCTCTTTTTTTAACTTGGCTCCAACCCCCATATGCATGTAATTGCCATTTAAAAATACTATACTCTATCTAATATAAACTTGAAACGGTCTAAAGTGAAAAGAGAAATTGAGTTTATTTGTCACTCTCATCGGCGCGTACAAAGAGCAGCAATTTTAAACCACGACAGTTAAAATTGTTGTAAATAAATTAAGGGAAGTAGCTACGAGCTTTTCCGTACGTGGTTAGAAAGATGATGCGTTATGCTCCCCACTGGTTCCCGAACACGTAATCGCGACTTCAAGGCGAATTTTTCATTCCTTAATCAGCTTCCTCAGTGGTCGTGAAGAAAGGGAGTAAAACACTTCCATATTTTATTCCGTCTTTCACACGTTCCGTTATCCCGTTTTAGCGACGAGTAAAAATAAAGAGAGAGACTTTTATCGTTAGACATTTGTCTAAACTTTGTGAAATTAAATCCCAATCCTACATGGCCCTACATTTGTCGGGACTGGAACTCATGGCTTCTCTGACTAAACCCAATGTTAGACAATATGTTTAGCATTGAGTTACAAGTGCGGTCAAGTCAAAATAATAATACAATAATATAATGAGCCAGGGATGAAGCATTGTATGTAACATATTTTTCTAAGCTGCGATAAATGGTGTATGAAGTACCGCGGATTTTCTTTCACAGAGCCAACCTAAAATATTCAGCAAATGTGTGTACGTGACTTTTAAACTCAACATACGTTTTATAAAATGAATGCATCGTATGAGGCAGCTTTAGGACAATGTTTTATTTGAAGCAGTGATTTGTCTCAGGACGAAGATCCGTACTCGCTAGCTGCAAGCGCTCGCTTATTGCAATCATGGCGGAATCTACCAGCTTTGTTTTGAAAAATACAGATATAACTTACGTGAACAACAATTAAATCTTAGAATAAACATGACGATAGAGTTTTATTCTTTTCATTGTTTGTTTTTAATGTATGATCTATCAGTTACATTAAATAGCATTATGACTCTATGAAACTTATCTATTGCCTTTGCTTCTGAACGAGTTAGATGAACAGAGAGAATAGAGAGAAGTAAACTAGTAAAAGATCCAAAAAATTGTCTACTTTTTATGTTTCATTGTTTAAGTTTTTAATTTAATAACATAGTTTATAAGCATAATAATTGTTCTGTATCGACATTCGGATGGACGGAAAAACCTGAATAGATTTATGTTCCATCTAGAGACAATACTGTAATGTGTTTTTTTTTTCATATAAATAAATAAATAAAAAATAATAATCCGGGAAGAAGCAAGGCAATACTTAAGCCGTTTTTGCTAGGTAGTTATAGACTATATTCATATATTAGTTAATACTTTTATTCCTTGTTTGTATTGTTAATTGTTAAAGTTAATATTGGAGTCTGTATGAGTGAATAGCGGGTAATAAAACCGTCATAACGGTTTAAAAAATTGTTTTTAAATACAATATTAGTTTTGGTGTACAAAATAAATAAAAAAAAGACTCAACCACAACCACATCACTATAATGCGATGCTGCCTCATTTCAGTTTGGCAATTGAAAATACATACTGATGTCAACCAAACATACTGAAATCAAACTCAATCAACTGTTAATTAGGTTTTTTCTATCATTTTTATTGCCATAACCAAAAAAAGGTTTGACATTTGAGGTTCCTACTGTACCTTTCTATGCGTACACTTTTTTCGGAAGAGTCCTACAATATATTGGGTTTTTATCCGAAATTGTTTGCAATTAAAAATTTTACAAAAAAGAAATGTTGGTATGTAAATTTGGTCATCAACATGCGTTTCAGAGGAAAAATGCAAATCAAAGTGAAATGTCAACATTACCCTTTTTTCGTGTTTGGGCTTGATTTTAGTATGTAAATGTGTTATTTTAAACGATCCTTTGCCATCTCTCGTATGATTTAAAGTAACTACCTGCTGTTTGAATAATTTTATTTATAAAATATTTATACATATAGATACTAGTTGATGACCGCGCATAAATTATAAACTCCTTTCACGCACTTATTTCAAAGTACGTGGTAATTAATATCATATTTTAAAACCGTTTAAGTTATTTCATTTTCATCGATAATTAGGTAATACTTTTAGTCTATAGAATAAAGTCTATAGAAATTACGGACTAAACACATATTTATTCCAAACTCATATCAATGAAACCACTTCAATGTAATTTAATCAGCGATGTATAATTTATAAGTTAATAATGATGTATAAGTTTTTTCTTGAAATATATTAGACCTTGTGTATTGAATTAGTGATGGTGGAATATGGAAATTCTGTCTACTGGTCCAAAAACGGAAAAAAATTTAAACACAAAACTCATCAAATACGAAGGCTAATCTTATTTAGATGTTATGACAACGATTTTCCACCATGTACCCATTCTACCGTACCCTTAAAAAGTAAATAAAATAAAAAATTATACTGCAACTTCGATGAGTTCTAATTCTTAGCACGGTAAACAAAAGACTGGGGCGAATTGTGTCATTCCCTTTCCTCGACGATAATTCAGTTAAAATTGCTCCTATCGTTCTCAACGTATATAAAGACGGGCATAAACCACAGACACGTACGTCCCGCGTTTTTCCATTTTGGCGGCAAATTGCACGCTACGTGACCCGAGCGGCTGGACCACGCCAACATTGTTCTACTCTTACGAATTACTTTATGGGGTAGTAAAGAAAATAATCGAATGCCTGCTTATGTGTATTTACGTCTTTTTTATGGGAGCTTGTAGGTACGCTTAATTTCTACGATTTCTACCTATATCAAAAGCGTCAAGAGAACAATAAATGTGCTTTTTTCTTTTACTTGTAGTAAACAATACACGTACAGTATTACAAACGATTATAACAAAAATATTTTTGAGAAATACTGGTAAGCGATTTAGCGGTATTTTGTAAGTTGACCGTTGTATTGTTATAAAAAAAGTTATTAAATGTCTTTAAGCCACTACCATCACCTTTTACCTAATTTAACTAGCAGTAAAATAATAAAAAGTGTCATCGACCATAAAGCAAACCGCATGCTTGCCTCCTCTATAAAAAGATGTACATTCGAAATAAAGGAATAATCTCACAATATCTTAATTATACAATACTTAATATGAGCCCCAACACCGGTAGAGATATTTTTGTTTTAAGATCTTCCGCGGAAAGTTTCAAAGTGATGAAATCCGTTTAGAGCTCAACTCGAGAGGCGTGACTTAAGGGTTGCTTATTGCCTTGTACTTTCAAATTGGATGTCTGTTACACCCGTATGTACCTACCACAGATTAAGCGCGAAACTGGTCAAATATGTAAACACTGTATCGTCTGTGGTAATTTAATATTTAAAGTTTGTTCAGTCTGTGGTTTGGTTTTTTTCTATTACAACATTTTGCTGCAGTCCCTTGCTGTCTTTTCAAGAGTAAGTTATTCTTTACAGATTTAAGAAGTTTGTTTTACATGTCACAACTTAAGGTATTTCTAAGTTACTATAATTAAAAAATATTATGGAATAAATCAGTAGATTATGTCGTTTGCTAAAATCCCGCATACACTTATTTTTTTGTACATAATTATGCTAAAAGTACAATATTAATGTTTGTTGTATCTCCTCATTTAGGTAGGGTGCTATTTTTATAACAGGAATGGTAAAAGTTCCTGTCTCTTTTCGTAGTTTACGTGAGTAGTACACATTTAAATAAAACACTTAGACGGTTTAAACCGCGATATATATTAGTTTAAGTTATTTGAAAATTATTTTTAACTGTCACGGAGAGCCGTATATAATCGCGAATATATATCGCGTTTTGAACCGTTAAGGTGTTTCGTTCTTTCAATCTTTTATCTTCACACTTCTATGTAACACGCGGTCAGCCAGAGTAGTCAGGCCCGTGACTTCGCATTCATTAGCACCCTCCAGCCCAAGGAAGTTGGATTAAATATTAACCCCGGTTAAGTTTAATAAGCTAACATGGATCGTGTTTGTTCGTTTGCCGCCGGTGTACTCATTGATTTTTATAGAAGCCTATTTTAAATTTTATGGACTCTGTTGTAAGATATGCTTTTAAGAAAATACAAATTTTTTAGCGTGTTTTTTGATACTAAGAATATATTGTATACTCGTTATATCGGGACGTAAATCGGAAGGATGATATGTCACAAGAAAAATGTATACCGACTATTAAAACACCAATCATTGACATTACTTGCGTCCTGTGTTTTACTCATTTCACCATTGTAAGTACACGGATTACTAAAGATAAAAATAATAAATCTGTATAATATTATATTGACTGTTTGTTTTAAATCTGCAATAAAAACTGTATTGCCTACATACATTACTAATTGTGTGATAAAAACAAATTTGAACGACAAATAGGTATTTTCTTCTTGTTTCTTATAATATGTACAAAATCGATATGAACATAAATATCTTACATACCTGAATAAGATCACCTCTGTAGCTAAATAAAATTAAACGTATTGCGTATCGTTGCGTTAAGCGCGAGAGGTCATGATTCGAATCCCGGGGGAACAATAGACGATTTCGGTGGAAGGAACAGATTTCTGATCAACTACTTGCGTGTAAACAACCAATCAGTGAAACGGACACAGAAATATGTTTGCCCAACGTGACCCTCGGGGTAAATGGGATTTTACTTATACCTGAATATGCCGTAGCTATGTGGTTATACATGGCTGACTATCACATTTAGCTTGAGAGGTGCTGGGTGCTGGAATTCATAGAAATGATACAAACGGTGACAGACACAGACATGTTCGCTCCATGCTATAGGTATAAATGGGATTTCACTACACCTGAATACGTGAATAACGGTCACCGTTGTCAAGCCCAAAAGCCCATCAAGAAACTCCATTCGAGAATATTCCCTGTCAATCTAGTTGACAAGCAATCGGCGAAGCAAATTGAACTTCTGCTGACGATATCTATTAATATCGCAGTTCTTTTTCAATTTCACTGGGCCAGGTATGAACCCTTTTCCTGAAAAACTTTCCAATTCATATAGCTTTTGTTTTTCATAGCCTCGAAAGTAGTCTTACCGATTTTCACTTGTTTTAACTTCTTGGGTTATTAGTAAGGATATAAAACTTTCTACATCAGTAAAAGCCCTGTGAAATACTGTCAAAAAACAATACCATTGTTTCGTAAATAGATCTATCAGAAAGTCGTAAAATGTTTCCCGTTTCGTTGCGAGGGAGCGATCTTAACGGGAAAATCATTAAGCAAAATGTTTCCTATATAAATTGTGAGATATTATCAGCTACAACTAACAAGTGTTTTCTTGTAATTTGTTCTTTTCACGGTGATTTAGTCAATGTTGTATTATTCTTATAACAGAGCAGCCTATTTATGGAAGGTGAAATACCCAAGAAGTGGCTATTTGGCTTCAGATGTAATCCAAGGTTCAAGATTAATTTAATCATTCGTTATTTTTAGAACCAACCAACACTTGTGCAATTGCATTTGTCTTATATCACTAAGCTGACGCTATGCAACCAAAGATACCTGTGAACAGTAGTGAACTATGAATATGTTGAGACGATAGAAATGCTTCTTGGATTTACAAGCTCCTGTCGTTGTTGCGAGATGTTGCTCGTTCTTCAACTCAGCGAAGACTGACTTAGTTAAGGAACTACTTTTTAATTACTACGTCAGAACACTTCGAAAGCAATCTGCCGCGAAAGCCTTATATAATTATAACTGTTTCTTGTTGTTGTAGTTATTGTGTATATAATTTCATATCATCAACTTTATTCATCTTGTCTGGTGCCGAACGTGGGTATGGGGACCAAAGCATACCGCTGAGCCCCCTTCAAAGTTTATTTTGTTTATTTATAGGTTATGTTACTTAGTAAAACGTTCAACATCCTACTCGCTAGTCGCAAAGCAACGCAACCTGAAACCGTTTTAAAATCCAACGTTACATCAAACGCGCTAAAGTATTCCCTTCTAAGCTCTCTCATTACATAAAAATAAACATTCCACAGTGAAATTAAATCGGAGTACAGCTGTGCTCGCCGCAGCGCAGTTTAATACAAACCCAGAGTTGCGTGCTGCAGACAGCTTGATTTAAATCCCACTTGGACAAAGAAAACGTACCGGTTTTATGGCGCATTAAAGGATTGTTTGTTGTCGGTAATACTAAGCTATAGTTTCGTTTGCTGATGTTTGACACACCAGGTTTTTTGCAAATCTTTTGAGCGGTCACGATGTAACACTCTACTATGTATCCTATGACTTTGTAAGAGCTGATGCTACAATAAAAACTAATGAGTAAGTCACAAGACAACTCGACTATGACTCCTAACCTCTTAATAAATTAATAAAAAAACTATTAAGAATGAATTATTTTCGACACGGACGGGACTTGAACCTTCTTATTCACAGCGTTCAGTGCTGTTGATCTAACCTTCCGTGTCCTAACTAAGTAAAGTCTTGAGACTTGAACCTAAATAATTGGAACGGGTTTGTCCTTGTTCCCTTTTTTTTTCCCCCCCCTTTGGCCCCCCGCAGTTAACCTCATTTTGCTTGTTTCAACTTGATGGTCACGTATGAAATTTAAAAATCGAGAATATTTAAGATAATTTTTCGACACGGTTATAATATAACTTGAGAAACTTAAATCCGCAAAATTTTTTCTTGTATCATTTAAGTTCGATCAGCGCACAAAAAATTGTCCTAATGCGTTCTTTACTGATACACCTTTTGATCATATGTAGGGTAAATATATAATTTCCTAATACAATCAATAAATTTCTAAATATTATTAAGTATACACGAAGACACGTTGTTGTGCTCATTACATTGTAGTGTTGGGTTTAAACCCAAACCCATAGGTACCAACATGCAATGCGTTTAACCAATGGGCCACTAAAGGGACCAAGAAAGCTCTTTTTCATATAATAATTAATGTCGAAAGGCTTGGTATCATATAAGTAGTAGGTTATTCGATAGTTCTAACATCTAATATGCTATAGCAATACAGAAATGGGAAAGTGGAATACACTTAACATACACCGCGGTATGTAACGTAAGAGGCTGTCGACGGCAGATAGGAGAGTTGCACGAATATTGTCTTTGTGTAAGTTTGGATTAAGCTGTTAATCACATGCTAACTTCAGCTGCTGGGTGCGAGCTGATTTACATACCACGTTCTTAGGGATCCGTCCCCACACGCTGAAAACTCTTCAACATTTTATTGCTCTTAAAAATACCTTTTGATAGCTTGAAAAATAATGCTTATCTTTACGTTATTTTGCTGCTGCTTAAAATAAGTTTACTAATATATTTCGTGTTTTGAACCGTCAAAAGTGTTTTAAATGTACAGGTAGATTACAGTCAATACGTAGACATAGATTTTTAAAAATCGTTGTCTGTTTGTCCCCAAGCTGTATCTCGAGAACATTCGAGGGATAAAGACAAAAATTTAAAATTATGTATTAGCTCTTACCTAAATAGTAATAACAAATGAGGGGGCATACAATGACGACACTTTTGTCAGTATTTTGGCAATAATTTTGAAAGGTAAAACCGTCGTCCACCTGCTATCTTTATATAACAAGTTCTTGAACAGATAGATATAAGTTTAATTTTAAATACTGTCTATAATTTACGCGAGTATTACACATTTAAAT